ATGAGAAGTGACAGGAAATGAGAGGAAAGAGATGCAACAAAGGACCCTTGAAGGAAATTTAACTGCAGCTTTGTTCAAACCACCATGATGACTCCCCCCAGCCTGTCGCAACAGACGGCTGCCCCATCCTGAGCTGATGTCTTCCTGTTATAAGGGAGTTTTTCCTTCCTACTTTTGCCAAGTGCTTACTCATACAGGGTTGTTTGGGATTTTCTCTGCATTATTGTAGGGTCTACCTTACAATAACAAGCGCCTTAAAGTGACTGCTAATGTGATGTGGCGCTATATAAATTTAATTGTGTTGTAACCTATCATCACATTTCAATTTTTCAGATCCCTTGCAAGCTTTCACAACTTACCGCTACAAGCAAAAATAACAGAGAAATGTAAGCTTTGTGACAAGTCATGAAAAACAATCCTTCTTTACTGTAAAGCAACTGAAGCCTCTGAAATAATCAGCTATGACACATTTATTTTTCTTTGTGTCATGCACTGACCTTGTGACAAACTACCCAGCAGTTGAGCACAAGCCTTTGCTTTTTTCTGACGCAATAACCTCTAGCCATCAGGTCATTGGAAATAAGTCAATATCAGTTACTAGTGTGGATAAAATCTGGAAAAATAGGTTATGGTGTTGAAAACTAGACTAGATTAGACTTAGTTTAATGTCACTGAAAAAGTATAGAACTCAAACAATAAAGAGCAGTTTGCCATCTAATCCAAAGTGCAAGCAATATATGAACACATGCATATACAATATGTACACTCTGAGATAATACACAAGACTACACGCCCCCCATTTTGCCAAAGGTTTTATGAGCCCATATCATTAAATCTGTGTGATTCACATCTTGGGATTCGTATCTTGTGAGTAGCAATAGAGCCACTCATGCTGTCTGAGTCACTGCGGCCGCATGAATTCAAGTTTGCATTGTGAAATCACCTGGCCAGCAAACACATTACTCAGATATGAGATGTGTCACAACCGGGCTCCACCCTCCCGCTCCTCCTCCCCTTCTATTTTTAAACAGGTTTTACTTCTGTCCATAATGAAAATATTTCTGTCCCCAGAGGAGTGAGCGCTCAAGGCCACATGTGTTAATGCCCTCCAGTTTATGGGCCTTTACGTTACTATAACAAAAGCTACTTTTTAAGAATATGTTTTTTTAAATGGTAAATGGCCTGTATTTGTTTATTTTCTAGTCCCTAAGGACCCCAAAGCGCTTTACACAATCTGTCATCCACCCATTCGCACACACATTCACACACTGGTGATGGCGGCTACATTGTAGCCACAGCCACCCTGGGGCGCACTGACAGAGGCGAGGCTGCTGGACACTGGCGCCACCGGGCCCTCTGACCACCACCAGTGGTCAGAGGGCCAGTTTATTTTAACAAACTTAGAGAAACAAAATGATAATCTGAGATAATAATGGAAATTACACAGCAAGAATGACAAACTAATGGGAATGACACAAAGGCCATGTTTGGAAAGCACTGACAGCAGCTCTTCGTGTCCGGTCATGCCGGATGATAACCCAGACAGTCTGAGTTTGTACCAGGATTAAAAGGCTTCATCGTGTGGGCAGTTTCAACAAATAAAAAGATATAAATGTGGATTTTGTTTCATTTTACATTTGTTTGAATTATAGTCCAAATTAAGCAGTTGAAAGCTTGTGAAACAAGTTTCCCACAGATATACTCACATATACAATTTACAAAATTATCTCTAACTCAAAAGACAAACAGCTTAACCCTGTGTGCACTGAATTTAACAAAAAACAAATACTGTGTGAACATATTCATAATAATAATAATAATAATAATAATAATAATAATAATAATGGATTGCATTTATATAGCACTTTTCGGGGCCATCAAAGCGCTTTACAATTCCACTATTCATTCACTCTCACATTCACACACTGGTGGAGGCAGCTACAGCTGTAGCCACAGCTGCCCTGGGGCACAGAGTGAGCACCATTTTTGCAGATATTGTATGAAAACGAATCGTTAGTTATGATCTGCTGCCTATCTTGGCCAGGTCTCCCTTGAAAAAGAGGTTTTTAATCTCAATGGGATCTTCCTGGTTAAATAAAGGTTAATAAATAAATAAATTAGTTTGAAACTGTGCAAAAGCCGCTTCATCCTGTGTGCAAGAATCAGAAGAAAAATACCTTATTAATCCTTAAGGAAACTCCAAGACAATAAGAACAGTAACAGTCTGAACTAAATTAAATAATACAATTTATTGCAAAGTTAAATGATATAATATATTTAAATGAATGTAATTATAAATATCCACAATATTACAGCGATTAAATATATGATATGATTGACATTTCACTGTAAACTATAAAACTTGTTATTTGTTATTTTCACTATAGAGGATGTGCAAAAGGGTGTAACTAATGTACTTGTGTACTGTACAACAAGATGAAGGAATTGTATGGAGAGAGAGAGACACAGGCAGGAATGATTTCCTGTGTTGTTCAGTGGTGCATTTGGGTAATCTCAGTCTCTCACTGAACGCGCTCCTGTGACTGGCCAGCATGTCGTGGAGTGGGTGGGAGGTATTGTCTAGCAGGTATTATAAGGTATTGCCCTTATCTTGGACAACATCCGCCTCTACAACACCACCTTAAGGGAGTCCAGCTCCATCCCCAAACATTACTGGCCTCGAGGATCAGTTTATTGAGTCTGTTGGCATCTGAGACCCTCAACCTGCTGCCCCAGCATGCAGCAGCATAGAGGATGGCACTGGCCACAATAGACTCTGACAGCATTGACCGACAAATGTTGAAAGACCTCAGCCGCCCCAAGTGCAGAGGTGTTTTTAACAGAGCCCAGTTTATTGTCTATATGTACTCCGAGGTATTTATAGTCCTCCATTGTCCACACTGAACCGCTGGATTGAAACAGGGATCACCGGTTTCCTGGTCCCTGCCACGCTGCTTGGCCATGTGTACATTCTTCCACATGTTGACTATTGCAACCCCCCTCAACCCCCCCAGCTCCACCCCCAACAAAAAAACAAAAAACAAAAACACACACAGACAAAAAAACAAAAACACTAATTATTTGTTTCTCACAAACACTCTGTCATATAATTTGACCTCTGGTCAACCTGCCCATGAGCCAAGTGAATCATTTCCTGTCTCATGGACACAACTGGGAATGACAATTGGCAGTCTTCCAACAACTGTGATGTATTGGAATTAATTGTTTTGACAAATGACACAACTGATCTGGACCCGTATTTTCTGTTAGGATGTGTGAGCTCACAGATTTCAGTGAGGGATAAAACTTTAAGACTGAGTGTAATTATCAGCTAGACGTTAATGGTGGTAAATTAATATTTTAAAAAAATTACAACCACAATCCCCCCAAAATTAGGACAGTGTGTAAAATGTAAAACAGAACACAGTGATTTTCAATTCTCATAAATCCAATGAAAAAGACACATCCAATGTTGAAACTTCCAAAACTTTAAGGAAACAATAAGGTCATTTTGAATTTGATGGCAGCAATACGTGTCAAAAAGGTTTGACAGGGCCATGTTTATCACCGTTATCACCTTTTAACAGCAGTCCATAAGCCCAAGGAGACCAGCTGATGGACTTGGATCGGAGCATATGTTGCTGTAGAACCTGTATAAGCCTTTCAGGATTGATGGGGCCTTTCCAGATGTGCGAGTTGTCAATGCCGTAGGCACTAACGCACTCCTATACCATCAGAGACACAGGCTTTTTAAAGGACTAATGATAAAATAATGAGCTTGATGGTCCCTCTTCTCTTTAGTCAGGAGGATGGAACGTCCATGTTTACTAAAATGAATTAAAAATTTTGATTCAACAGTTTTCCTTCTTTTTTGCATGATAGAGCTTTAACCTCGTTTGTGGATAGCATAACAAACACAGTGTTCACAGTGTTTCTGAAATTGTGTCCAAATTTGTGGAGGAGGATGTTTGCAGATTTGTGAAGTCTGCATCTGTAAGTTGCTCTTTTTATATTATGTTGCCAGATACCCTAACCTACAGCATGTTCCTCCAGTTGTGTCTCTCAAATATCACTTTCTTTTCCAGCTTTTTGTTGCACCATCCAAAATTTTTTGAGATGTTTTGCTCCCCTTGAATTCACAATTCGCTCATATTTTCTATGAAATAGTTATATTAAATATTACATTATATGGTTTTTGAGATTAGAAAATGATTACATTGAGTTTCTATTTACATAGCACCCTTACTTTCTTTAGAATTGGGACTGTGTGATAAAAGCTTCATGTCAACGTTTTCCAGCAGCAACAGCCTAATGTGAGATCTTCTCATGTGTATGATCTGTTTTTCACTTTTAAGTTGTAGTAACTTTTAGTCACAGATATTAATACACAGCACTAAGCTGAGTTACTTAAGCAAGCTTTGAATGATTATGATAGACGCTCTAAGATTAATTAAATGATTCATCCATAAACAATTACCCGTCATGACTCACTGCCACGACTCTATAAAATATTAGGTATGGATCAAAAGTACATGTGTCACGCATTATTCCCGTATAGAAACCGATTCTTGTAAAAGAGGTCAGTTTAAAGGCGTACAGCTAAAAATAAACTGTTGCTTTTTTAACTAAGAAGATTTATGGGGGCGCTGTCGAATATGAAACGCTGTAATACATGGCAATACACAAAAGGTGGATTTAAAATCAGTTTGAAAACACAAAAAAACTCAAAACAGTTCAATCTATAAACGAAACACTGGCGGAATCGTTCCGCTTCCACTGCGTGTGTGACGTCAACCGGAACTGACGACGGCAATGAACGGAGTCGTTTTTAATGTAAAAGGTTTTAACGTAAAATAAACTATAGTTTTTTTTATTTTTGGCAGGTTTAAATTGAAAGATTTGATATATTTAAAAATGTGCCTTTAATTTGTGAAATTCACTTTTAAGATATCCGAAAAGTAGTTTGACCTCCATACCCAGGATGCACTTCGGCTTGCCATCTTGTCGCGTAAGGAGAGCGGCGGGCAGGAGTTAGCTGCCCGTTAGCTCACAGCCGCCGTAGTAAAGTGGTTATCTGTCAGCTAGTTGCTAGTAGCTGCTGCCAAAAGTGAGCTGTCCCCACGGCGAGAGCCAAACTTCGCCGACTTTGGGACGTTTTCTTCCCACACTGCTGGATTATATATTATTTTTTGACAAGCCGAGGAGTTGTTTACATCATGATGTCGCACATGCTGGTGCCGAGGTAGGGAAAAGTAGCTAACATCAGATAACTTGGCTAACTGCTCAGAAGTACATATATAGCTGAGAGAGGAGAGTGGTCTGAGACACCGGGCCCGCCTCAGACTAAAGTACCGGTGGCAGCTGCTCAGCAAGAACTTTGACAAGGGCCTGTTTACAACTCCGCTGCCGGGACACAAGGAAGGCCGACCGTGTGTGTATGTGTGTGAGGGACAGTGTGTGAGAGGGAGAGAGAGGCCGGGAGGAGGAGAAGAGCTTCGGCCCGTCTGCTGCGACCGGACACCGCGGAAACGTTGCGGGACTCCTGTCGTGGTCTGGCCTCGGTTGTGACACGTTTTTTTTCCTCGGACAGGAGGGAGAAGAAAGAGGAACGGTATGGAAATGTACTGTGACGGTACATGCCTGTGTCAAATCCTTTATCTGTGAACACTTAGCAAGAGCAGTAAGCACAGCTCTTGGTTTCATCTGGGAGCTGACAGAACTTGACGCAGTTAGTCAACATGTCGAAAATGCAGGCGAAGAAGAAAAGTTGTTTCCAGATCACGAGTGTAACGCAGGCTCAGGTGGCGGCGAACACCATCCCTGACGACGCCGAGAGCTTGGACGATCCGGACGAATCCCGGACGGAGGATGTGTCGTCGGAAATATTTGACGGCTCTCGGGGTGAACTGGGGGTGTGTGACAGGAGCTCATCCGAGGAAACCTTAAGCAATGCCGGGGAGTCTCAGGAGGGCCAGCTGCCTAACACGGGGCCTGTCAACGGGGGGCTCTCTCATAATATCAGTATGGTCTCTGGGCGTGCTACCCCACATAGTGTTGGAGGAAGTGTGGGCATGTCAGCTACAGCTCAGCCCTTTGTTTCAGGCTCAGCCACCACTGCGGTCCCTGGTTCCACTGTATCTAGCACTGCTGCTCAGACAGCTCCCGTGAGCACCAACTTTACTTCCCGTTTCAGAGTTATCAAACTTGACCATGGTACTGGAGAGCCCTTCAGACGGGGCAGGTGGACATGTACTGAGTACTATGAGAGAGATTCAGATTCAAATATTAATCGGAGTGACAGTATAAAGTCCACTTTGACTCATGACCTCAGTTTAGACCGGGACAGTGGATTAGGAGCCACTGGTAATTCTGTCTTCACTAGCAGTTCTCAGACTTTGGACACCACCACGGAGAGCGGCTACTCTGCCTCTGTTGGAAACCCCGCCCACCCACACCCTTCAGAGTCTTGGCAGCAAGGCTACAGCTTGGCTTCTCAGATAGGAAGCGGAGCAAGTGCCTTCCAACCCACGGGGTACACAACTTCATCATCACAGCAATCATATCAGGCTCAGGTTAATATGTTGCCTGTAGCTGCTCAGACCTTCCCCTCTAACAGCTTCAATGGTGTGCACCAATCTACAATGCAGCAGAATACTTCCATGCCTGCTGCCCCACAGGCCCAGCAGTTTCCTTACTCAACTCATCAGCCCCACTTTGGCTCGAGCGCTCAGAACCTTCCTGTGACTTCCATTGCTGTAGGACCCCCAACTAGACAAGTGTCCCCACCTGTAATGACCCCTACTGGTCCTGGATCAGTGGTGCCAGGTGGAGAAGCAGCTTCAGCCCAGGGCCTATCGCTGCAAGCTGGTGGCGCACCATCTATGGTAGCCCCCTGTCAGGCCGCTGGTCAGACTCAGCCTTCAGGAGGGTTAGGCATTGCTCCTGCACCTTCCACCACCACTACCTCTCACAGCGGTGGCCATAATGTGCCTTCCACAGTGCCCAGTATAACCAACACTTCTCCGGGTGTGCCAAGTCCCGGACACCCAGGAGGACATATCCAGCTCCAGGGGGCTCACGGAGGAGCCACAGTAGGCCTTCCCCCCGTCTTCAGTAACCAGCCAGATGATAGCGGACCGAATACTGATGCCCTACCTCAGCACACTGCCGGTGTGGTGCCAGAAAAAGATGGTGTGAATCCTCTCAGCGAGGGCCCCAACCCACCCTCTCCTGCTGTCAACAGCCTCTTTGGCATCCATATTACCATGGATATGGACGGGGACAGGTAAGAGAGTAAACAAATGCCTACAAGAAATTTTCATTTATTTATTTGTACTTAAAATCTAGCACTAATAGACTTCTACAGCTAGCGACTTTGTATCTGGAAGTGTGCCCTCACACTAAGCATTGTTGTTTCATTCTGGAGCAGTGTGGTCATACTCAACACTGTGTAGAACACCTCTTTCGTCATCACTGCCCAAATAAAGCATGTTGTGACTAAGTATTCAGTAGTACAAACACAAAGCAGTATTTAATTTTTTTTTTCCGAGTTATGTTTTTGAGGAAGTTTGGATTCGAGGAGTAGAGGGCAAATAAAAACGGGTGTAGATGGGAGCTAATTTCTGTCTTTGTCAGTAATGGGGCACTCACACTGGATCAAGTCCATACTGAATAGTTGTCTTTTCACCATCCCTTAAACTCCTGTTCAGCCACAGAATGTGTCTCTGCTTTTGACTGGACGATAACGGGCTCTCGAATAAGTTGCAACACAGACAGTAGGTGTTATGCAGCCACCTCCCCAAATGTGGCTTTTAAAAAAAAAAAAAAAAATTCTCCTTTCTGTCGAGAGATGGTTAGCATACTCACCATGAGCAGTTTTCCCAGTCTTCCCAACCTTGTTAATGCAGACGCCTCACTTGCTTACACAGTGGGCTTCTAATGTACACGTGGTCTACTTTAGGGTCTGTCGAATGGCCTTTGCAGACCTTGAGCTGAAATGTTGCTGGTCTTTTCGACGCAGACAGTACTGCTGGAGAGGTGATGTCTGAGCCAAGAATAACCTGGATGGCGTGTACACACACACACACACACACACACACACACACACACACACACACACACACACACACACACACACACACACACACACACACACGTGTGTTGGTCTCTGTTTATTAATGTGCTTATTGTGCATGACATAGTTAGAGCAGTAGGGTGTGTGTGTTTGAGGAGAAGAGTCCTGATTTTTATTGCCTTTAGTCCAGATACTGATGAAGCAAGTCATATTTGCTGGAGATTTTTTGTCTTAGCAGCATTAAACAAGGCTGAATATAATGAGCGGATCGCAGTGTGCGTCATCATAAAGTGCCGATTTCTTGCGAGTGAACGAAGGTGACATCAGTGATTGTGTAGATTGTGGCAACAGGACAGGACGTGTCAAGAAGGTGGTGTGGACAGACGGGAGACACACACCTACATGACAAACACCTGTGGAAATGATAGTAGGCACGTAAGCTGTTTGTGTGTCAGCAATGACACAGCTGACCAAGTCAGCTGAACGATAGCTACCTTCTGCTCTGTCTACTTTAAGGTCTGTTCTGAGTCGTCAATGTTGAAACATCAACTTCATTCAGTGTTGACTCATGATATTCTGATATATTGTCTTTGTGTGCACTCGCTCTGCTCTAACATTGTAGCAGTACTGTGTGCTGACATAGGTCCATCACAATTAGCATTACAGCAACATGGATAGTGTTACATTGATCTAATATCAAATGCCGCCCCTCTAAACCCAGGCTCAATAGGTTTAGTTAAAATTCCAGTTCAAAGATTCTTGGTCCTGCACATGACATGGGGCATATTCAACTGATGAAAAACTAGTTGAGCTCATTCGGCTACATGGGGTGACGCTTTCTGATGCTTAGAAATGTTGTTTAAAAGCCTTTTTTTTTTTTTTTAATTTTAAAATTTTTTTTTTTTTTTTTCCCCTGCCCCGAGGTCTGACCTGAAACTGTAAGAGATGCTGTGCCCTGTTACAAGCATACAGAGTAGATGTTGACCTTTTGGTTAAAGTTCATATGTCAGTACTTCAGTTTTTCACTTTTCCTCCTTTGTTGCTGCTCGTGGCTGCAAGTGCATGTTGCTATTTATGAAACAAATATAACATTTTATCTGTTTCACGTGCTCATTTTTCACAGACCTCAAAACCTTTGTGAGGAGAGGTTGTGGGGAAAAACGAGTTGGGCTGCCGGTGGCATAATTTTTATGCACATCTCTTATAGTGTCATGTTAACTTGTAACTCATAACTCTTGTAAGTCTCAGATAGAAACGGATTGTAAAAAAGGAAAAGTTTTTAATGAAACACACCCAGCTTGTCCTCTTCCCGTTGGGTGAACGACCGCTGTCTCGCTTAGGAATCTGTTCCAAGTTTCATTGTTCTGTTTTGAATTAGAGTGCATCACAAAAAGTGGAACAAAGCATTGTGGGGGTGGAGTTGTGAGATGACAATGATTTTCCTCCAGCTTGGAATGGTTAGTGTCTATGCTCGGCGGTCTTCGCCAAATAAAGTGATGAAGCTGCCCCGGGACAAATCGATTTCCATCAGTTGGAGCAGTTGGCTCTCAACTCTCCCATTCCTAACTGTTGTAACGCCTCAGTTAGGAATGTTAATTAATAATGTGTAATTGATGACATTGTTTCAAGCGGCCCAGCAGTGGAGGCTTAATTATGCAACAGGATAAAATGCAGTCTGCAGCTAATTCTGAGACTGTTTGCCATTTTGTTGTTTCATTTTCAGGAACTGAACATAAATCAGATTGATTATGTACCTGTAGGTCATGTGATTATGCTTTAAAAATGCCTTCTGTTTTCACGTGTTATTACTAAAAAATACTACTCCTGGTTTATTTATATCCCGGTACTTTGCCCCATGCCCTCCACTTCTTACTAGAGCCTTTTTCCTTACATCTGACTTTTCTCAGCTGCTCCCGCACAGCGTCCACCTTTCCCTGCCCGATACCGTTGCCATTTTTCTTGAGGAAGTTCAGGCAGGTCCTCTTTGTTTTCTGTTTGTCTTTTTGAAATACTGTTTTGACTCATTTTCTGTGCTAAAGTGTAGGTTTGGCTGAGATGAAGCTTCCAAAATGGTGAAAATGAAAGATTAATTACAGCTTCTGTATATTGTTGCAAGTGATTATCTTGTATGGGTGGTGATCATGTAGATTATATGGCTTTGAGACCTTTACAGAAGCAGATTGGTGGTGAGAAAGCCCACGTCCGAATCAGTCTTTACCTCAACAGACCAACAGTACAAAGTCCATGTTTTTTTTTGTTTTGTTTTTAAAAGGGAAGAGAAGCAGTGTCATGTGTCTGACATGTTTTGCTCAGACGCCTACTCTCACCAACAACATGAAAGAGCGTTTCTGTAGTGAGGACCCATCCGATCTGCAGAATCTGCCATCATGTGGTGACAGAGAGGGCAGTGCCGTAAACTGATTGTCATGACGTTGTCAGAGGTTTACATGTGGAAATGGCTTGTTTACCTTTCCTCACCTTTGTGCATATAAGCACCTTCATATTTGAGAGCTCCACACTGAGTTGTATGCGAAGAATATGAACGGCAGTAACCCAAGTGAAGGGAAATTTCCGGTCATTCTGCATGTTTTAAACAGCTACCATATAATCACACGCTTTGGTTTATAAACTTTAGGTTTCCACCAGATTAAAAGACTGCTGCTCTTATCTGCAAAGCAAGCTGATCTACATGTGCCAACCAAAAGAGGGCAAGACAGCTGCCAGACTTTCTCAACTTCCCTGACAGTCCACTAATGTCAGCACAGTAAAGTTGCGGAAACTCAAATATTACGCTGTGAATTTCTCCTCATTCACATTGAATGTCACACAAAGCTTTGTGAAAGGTCAGACGCACAGTGAGTTCAGTTTTAGGGGAAACTGTGATTGATCTGCCTCCAGAGGAGTTACACTCCTGCAGCATTTTAGGGGAAGAGTGATACTCAGTTAGTGGAGAGTCATTTTACTGGAAGGGGGGCAACATTTAATGCAGATGGCATTCTTTAAAGCAGCTGCCAGCAAGAATGTGTTAACAGTGGATTGACTTAAAGCTGAGTAAGAGCTTAGCGAGTAGCTCAACGGTTAGCCTGTAATGGTTCTCAGCTGACTATTTTGTCACAAATGAGTTGTTTTGGATCTCATCTAAAGAAGAATACTTAAGCCACCTTTTCCACAGTTTCTCTCTTCCATGCCTATAATATATATTGGTAACTAGGGCTGCCACAAACGATTATTTTGATAGTCGACTAGTCACCGATTATTTTTGCGATTAGTCTACTAATCAGATCATCATCCACTGGACGTAAAACTACAGCTTATTGCACCAGCAGCATCTGCTCTTATATAACTATCATTAGCTGACAGCTTTAAGTGTTTACGGTATGTGCTAACTAAAAATAAAGACAAGATGATCGTTTATTAAATTTTAATGAAATTTGCAGATTGTTTTGGTGAATTTTAATAAACTCCTTGCTATCTAAAATATAACAGGACACCGGAGTAAATTCTTGAGCATCTCACACTTCTGATAATCAGTTGTTTATTCAGCTGTGTAAAAACTATAACTTTAATCTCAGGATTTTCTCAGGAACAAATAAAATACTAAAAAAGCCAAACAATAACATTTTGAAGTTATCTAAGTGACTTATATATATTAACCTGAGTAGCGAAAGACGGCAGTGGGTTTGAAAACGATTTGCCGGTAAGCCTTGCCCCCGGCTAGCTATCGAGCTAGTGGGTAACAGACGTCTCCGAAAACGTCGGAGCGCTTTTGAAAATATGTGGTGTCCTGATAAACTGAGCAGATATTTGAGGTTTCCACAGCTACATTCTCGCCTGAAAATATGTTAAACGTTTATTTTGTGATCCAGAAAGAATAATAAGAGTAACATTAAAACTAACTAGCTGCCGCCATTGTTGTAAACTGAGCTGGGCTGCGCTATGAATTCTGGGACACAGCTGCTTCTTCTTCTTCGGGGTTTAACGGCAGCTGGCATCCTTGTACATGCAGTGCTGCCATCTTCTGTTTCAGTCCGTTATTACACTCCTAAATCCTACAACTTATTCCTGCGTCTTTTGTGATCTTACAAAGCTTCAAACGACGCGTCGACTATTAAATCAGTCGTGGACGATTTTGATAGTCGACGTAATCGTGACTAGTCGACTAATCGTGGCAGCCCTATTGGTAACTTTTGGTAATATTTTTCCTTAAGAAA